CTTTTCTTCTAATTGTATGACATGCACGTGAGGATATTGGCCTAAAATAGTCACAAATATTTTATTCAGGCAGTTGCAAATGGAGCCATAGCTTACCGGGAACCATTATAATATATTTATTGTCTATGATAAAATATTATTTTTTGATAAATATTCTATAAGTCAATGGGCTTATTGATTCAAAATAAGTTGTGCCCCCAAAAAATAGCTATAGGGCACAATGTATTTGATTGAAAAAATAAATAATTAAAAGGATGTTTTTGAGCTGTTAAGGGTGTGGATCCATATTGGACAAATGGATGGCTTGCGTTATCGGTAACAATTCAATCATCCCCAATTTTTGAGATTTTTTTTTTTTTTTGGGTTTTGAAATTGATCAAACATTGGCGTATGATCTCTACATTTATTTATTTTTTTGGATTTTTAGTTTTCATCCATTATTTATCACATTTTTCAAATTGTTCTTTTTAGTATTTGTTCAATTTTAAGATTATTTGTTTGCACCTTGTTTCTTTTTGTATCATTTATGTTTCTTCCAATGAACATGTCTTTATTGATGTATCATTTTTCATTTCTACCAAGTTTATTTATACCTTTATTTATTCCAAATATGACATGGGAAAATGTAAAACAAAGGAACCAAATAGTGAAAGTCAGGAATCAAAATAATTTCTAGAAACTTATCTAAGCATGCAAATCGAAGATAAGTTATTGTTCTTCGTTGGGCTTAGTTGTATCCTAGAAGTGTACTCGCCAGTAAACTTGAATGCATTTGGAGATGAATCCAAGTCAAAAGGCATCTAATACCTTGAAGGTTGCGAGAGTATCTTATGCCTTTGGATATATTATTTAAGCATAAGGAAAAGTTGGTTGTTTTAGAAAAAGGTTCTAGTATCATGCTTGTTTGGAATAAAAGCATTGTGTTCGTAACTTCGTACTCTAAAGCTCAAGCTTTATGCTTATTTTTTGAAACATGTGTTCATTTTGAAAGTGTACTAGTTCTATGCTCGAGTTCTACCCTCCATGCTTTTATGTTTACGATTCTCATCACTACTAAGAGTTTGTTTTTTGACAATAAGTTATATTCTCCTTTTTCAAAATGAAATGAACATTGTTTTCGAAGGGTTTCAAAATGTAGTATTGGTCTTTGAATTATTTTGTTTTGGTGGTCAATGCTCGGTGCTTGTCAACATATAAATCACATGATATGTGGGTGTGGTTTGCATATGGTTGCAAACTTAGACAATCAAAGTAAGGCTCATCTCTAAACTTTGTTATAAGATGCAATTTTGATGTCGAAATCTCTTAAAATGGTTTGAGAATCTATTTTCACATCTAATTATAAATTTAAAAAATGGTTCAAATGAAGCAGATCAATAAACACATGAAAATCTTAAAAATGGATGGCCCAAATAATATGTTGCGAGATGTACTACTTTTAGCACTTTGAAATTTTTTTTTTTTCCGTGTTAATACATCTCATAATCAAGATGATCAGTTAAATTTTTTCCCAACATCAAAATAACAATGTTCGGAGGATTTTTGTGGCGCACCTTAATTCTATATTTTAAGGTGTCAACCTTACAAAAACTTTGTCATATTATATTCCACTAAAAAATGACATCTTATGGGATGGTATACTTATGAGACCATTTTAATTTTTGTATAAAGAGGTTACATCCACTGTTAGTCATTGGATGTTTGGACTTTGTACCTAAACAATCATATATCCTCAACCACCGGATTTCAAATTTAACAGTCAACAAGGATTGTGACCTCCTTATATCAAAGGTAAATGATTTCATTGTATATACTTCCTTGTATTATTCCTAAAACGGGGATGGAACTCCTATTTTTGCTAATGTACAATATGTAGCATACTAGCAAAATTAGATTAGAAGAGTAAAGGATATTTATTATATATTAAGCGAGAAAGGGACCACACTGATGTTTGCAACGTGTTTCTTTCTTACGTCTAGATTTTGTAGTCTTAATTTTTAATATATGATTATACTCCCTTACTCAAAAGACAATACCTTACAATTTTAGGAGTTACAATAGTGACTCTTCGCTAATTATTTAATCATAATGATGCATTTATAATCAATTATAAAATATTTCTCTTTTGGAGAAAGATTATGTAACACAAGGGGCTCATAGCTACAAAAATAAGTGAAGCCCCAAAACAAATAGATAACATCTTTTTTTTTTTTGGGTAATCCAGTGAGGATGACGAGCCTTTATTCATTTTTTGAAATCATTGGTAGTTAATGGAAGCCTAGACCTTAGCTGGGGTATAAGTGGTGCGACCACCATGACTACGACCCCAACCCCATTCTCAATAGCTAAAGAGATTTATTTTTAAAATTCTGCATAACATAGATTTGAAAAATAAACATTTTACAAACATGATTTTGAGTTATTGAAGGCCTAGATCTACCATCTACCAAATGGACAACTTATATTCATTGTTAATAGCAGTCGTATTCTTTTCCCAATATTTATGTGAATTTAAATAATCTTTTTTATTTTTTATTTATTAATTAGACCGCGATGAGTTCTACATGCTCACACAGCTTAGATCCAAGGAGCCAGTACTTTTCAAAGTGACTCATCATATCATAAAATATGGCAGCATGTAATATTTTTCATTCTTTCTTCAATTATTTCTACCTTTGTTCAGCTTTATTATTTTTATTATTTATTAAATTTCAAAATTATTTTTTTGCGTGCATTTTATATTTCTACCTATCATCATTGATATCTCCTTCTACATTTCTACCAAGTTTAACTTCTTTCTCTCTTTTTTGTCCTCTCTTTTTTTTTTTTTTTTTTTGTTTTTTTTTTTTGGAGTTTAACTGTTGTTAGGATCCAAAGTCCAAACCCATGTTCATAGTGATGCAGCCTTTATCCTCTTAACTTTTTTTAGAATCTCTTTGATCATTTTCAGAACCTGGAGCCACCCAACCTTTGGGAATCTCTAGATACTTTTTGAGACGCCATCCTTTAATTTCACCATCTACGAAGATGGTCTACCTACTATTAAATCATTCCCATGAAAAGAAAACCACATGGTTCTTTAATATTGCCCCTTCAAGAAAAACAATGTTTTCTCTCGTCCTTCCTGTAAGGCATGAGAAAATCATGGACATGTAATTTGTAATGGATTTGTAAAGAAAGTGGTTTTTATAAGCCTTAGGCCTTGTGAATAAATAATAATAATAATAATAATAATAATAAAAGCTTAGTTTGACCTCAAAATTTTATCCAGAAATCTCAAATGTGGTTCTAAACTCTATTTCCACTACTAATTATAAATTTTTTAGCTCAAGAAATAGTACAGATCTTGTGGATCCAAAAAAAACTTGAAATTAGACGGCCTAAATAGTGTGTATGTATACTATTTTTAGGGCTTGAAATACTTTTTTCACACTTATAATTATCAAGGTCGAGATGATTGATTTGAAGATCTTTTGGCACTAAAACTATAATATTGGCTGAGTTTTGAGGTGAGGCTCTACGTTTTGTCATAAAGCCTTGGCTGTATTTTACCCTTTTCATTTGTAAATCATAAACTTATGATTGAGGTTTTTATAATCCATCAATATTAAACAATCAAAGTAAAGCATACCTCAAAACTATATTCGAAAGAAGCAATTCAGTCCTGGAAAGCCTTATGATGGCATGAAAATCTATTGTCATCCCTAATTATAAAATTGAAAGCTAAAAAAGTGGTGCAAATTGAGTAAATCTATAAACAATTAAATTTTTTGAAAATGGACAGTCCAAATATTCGTTACAAAATGCACTGTTTTGAAATCATTTTTTTTTATATATATCTATACATCTCGAAGTCGAGATGATCACTTTGAGGGGTTTCCAGCATTGGAACGACTTTTTCTAATGGATTTTTGAAGTGTAACCTACATCAATAATATAAAGTTGACGCCTCATATAATTTTTTCCGTGAACTTACCACTCAAGAACTCCATTCATAATCTTCATACTATTTATTAGCTTTCCATTGCCCAGCATAACCACCAGAAAAAATTCCCAACAAATTTAAAGGCTTTAGTTTTGCCTTTTGTTTTTTTTTCCTAATGTGCACTTGAAGTGAGCGTCATTGCTATTGTCGCTTTATCATTACATTTTGGGGAAAAAACCTAGCTTCACTAGAGACAAATGAATAAAAAAAACAGGGCGAGGTTTATACATTGTGTACATCTTAAGCGATCAAAGTGAGGCACATTGGTGTAAGATGCACTTTTGGTGCCAAAAACTTTGTGACCTAAAAATTTATTTTTATTTTTAATTATAAAATTTAGAGTTTTAAAAACATTAGTGCCAAAAACTTTATGATGACTTAAAAATCTATTTTTTTTTAATTATAAAATTTAGATTTTCAAAAATAGTGTAGATCTAGCAGATCTATGATTATTTAAAAATCTTGAAAATGGACGGTTCACACAGTGTGTTACAAGATGCCATATGTTTAGCAGTTGAAATCCCTTTAGATATCGTATCCATATATCCCGAGGCCAAGATGATCGATAGGCGGATCATCCAGCATCGGAAAATCCTTTTCCAATGGATTTTTGAAGTACACAATGCTTCTAAATACAAAGTAGATACTTTATATAAACTTTTTTTCAAAAAGCATTGTGCACAAAGGATATGTTTACCCTCCGAACCCAAGTTTTGGAAATCACTAATCTGAATCGTGTTGGGCTATATTGGGAGCTAAGCAAATTCTGGAATTGCCAAAGTCTCCCATTTTTTCATATTTTTAATTTTTGAGAAAAAAATCTTCTTTTGACTTAGAGTGAATTGAATTCGACCATCGGGACTCGGGCTCGGAACGCCGGCAAGGGGGATCCAACATCCAACTTTTCAAACAAGTACTAACTAATATTTCACCCCGGGAGAGATTTTATTTGTTTCCTGCATGCATTTATTCCAAGGTTTGAAAACCCCCTAACTAAGCTTTAACTAGTGGAAGTGTACAATTTGCTCCCTGAAAAATTGTTTCTTCTTATTTAAACAAATAAAATAAAAAGTGAAAGATCTTCCCCTAAGGTGCTCTGTATTTTAGCAGCAAGATGTGTTTTGGGAAATTGGATTTTTCAAATACCTATAAGAGATGAACTATTGAACTGTTTAACATTCTACCTATATATTTCTTCAATTTCTTTAATACCCATCAAAAGGTACATGATCATCCGTTGGAATAGTTACACGCGCGTGATTTTCAGTTCAGATAGTTATAAGTAGGCATCAAGTTAAATAGTTCATCTCTCATGAGTATTTTGATAAATTTTCTTTATTCTTTTTATTTTTATCTTGTTGAGTGCATATTTATTTATGTGCGTGCGTGTGCGAGAGAGATAGAGGCAGCTGATGCGTGCATGCTGATGAAACACATATATGTTTTTTTTGATGAATTGGAAGACAGATATGTTAGGATTTGCAATTGAGGCGATGCTTGAAGTCTTCCCACTTCAAATCTTTCTCCAAGTACTCAATGTTGGATGGGTCAAAAGGGCCCTTGATTATGTCAATAGACTTTATGATGGCCCTAGCTGGTAGAACACATTTTGATAGATCATATGAAGTCCTACCTGACAATAATGATGAGAAACCCTATTGCACAAAAGAAAAGAAAAAACATATTAATGTTACACTTTACAAACCATAAAGAGATAAACACTGAGTAAAATAACCAAAAGACAAAATAAAATGCAATCTCGATTGTTATTAGAACCCTAATTTTTTTGAATTTAATCTCATCAACATAGGAAAGGGATTAAAAAAATAGAAGAAGAGAAGAAAAATGAAAATTTTATGTGCCTAGAAAGGTGACATCTTAATATTCAACAAAAAGACCATTCATTGGGGTCTATTTGTTTACAAACTCAAGATCCAAATTTTTTGTTTTGATTTGGTATTTTAAAGTGGATCCCAAAATTTTTACATCAAAAAGTCCGCCTAAGAAGGTTTTATCCGAGGGAGTAACTATATAGTATACTCTGTCATGGGAGTATGAGTGCTCTTAATATTATCCTCTCTGTATCTTATTAAAGGGTGTCATTCATTACGAGATGAAAGGAAATTTAGGGAAATTTATCAAAATACACTTTACATTGCGACTATTTAAAATTTTTGACTTTTTCCTACCATTCCAAGTCAAAATGATGCGTATTTTGAGTGGCATTTTGAAATTCATGCAAAAGTCACGAGTGGATTTTGACAAATATCTCAAAATTTGAGAAAAATTTATCAAAATACATATAAGATAAAAATACTTCACGTTTTGCCTAACTGGAACTATCCAAACTGAAGGCCATGTATCTTTTTATGGGTATTTTGGAATTAAATTTAAATACAATGGTGAAGCGTTAAATAGTTTTTCTCTTGTAAGTAATTTGATAAAGGAAAAAATTTATATAAGGTTGCAATCTTAATATGTAGAATTAAAGGCGCACCTCAAAAATCCATAATAAAAAGTTGTTTGGATGTTAGAAAATCCTTTAGTTGATCAAAATTTTTTATAATAAAATTTAAAGGTACGTCTTAATTAGATTATTTAAGGTTACACCCTTACGTAAACCATACCCTTTGATAAATTCTCCAAAAATTTATCGGAAAGTATAGAATGAAATCATTTACCTTTTATATAAGGTGGCCACATTAATCTTGACCATTGGATGTGAAATTGGGTGGTCACAATTATTCCATTGACCAAGCTCAAATTTCAAAAGAAATTTTTTCAAACTTTGTGACACATCCAAGCTATCAAATTTTACATCAAATGGTTATAAGGATTCATGGCCCCTTTATTTCAAAGGTAAAATAGTCTTATTATATACAATCCCAAAATTTATTATAATGAGGACGTAAGTTTTACCCCTTATGATTTTAATAGTCACCCGCATCAATCAGTACATAAAACATGGTCTCTGCTCTTGGGAGATGTACAGGATCTTGCAGTTTTGTGTGCCTTAGTCAACTAATCCCTTAAAGGTTAGGATAAATAATTAAGCACAACCTCCAACCACAGCTAGGGGTCGTAATGGACCCGACCCGGGATCTGAGGGCTAGACCCGATCTTGGCTTAGGAATGGATCTAAAAATTGGATCCGGCGGACCGGTCTAGGTCTAAATCTTGGGTCTGATAATATTTTTCGGGTCCCAATATAAAAAAATATATAAATATAATTAAATACATAGATATTTTAATTTTTTATTTAGATGCGATCAAGTTTGATCAGGTCTGATTCTGGGTCTAGGTCCCACATCATATTTTCGAGTTCAGATCCCATATCATTTTTGGGGTCGCGTCCCATATCATTCGTGGCTGGAGGGTTCGATTTCCAATTGACCTAAACCCTAAAAAGGTCCAGCCTAACACTTCGGTGTGACCTTTTTTGGGAACCTTCATTTTTTAAGACTTTGACACCTACCTATCTTTTGCTAAATACTTCCAAATCTCTTGGTAGGATCGTTTTCATTGCTATAAATCTCAATTAACTGTTTGTAATTTATTGCATTTATCAGAAAATAAAGGTTCTCCATTAGTAGATTTTATTCTTTCATAATAAAAAGGCAATCTTTCTATGTTTCCCCTACAGCATAAAACTTAGATAATTCCCCTTATCCAATCGTCCATTCTTAATTTAGGGCTAAGATTGCCCAAATCACAATGTCATGTCTCTACACTATTTTGTTTTAAATTTTTTTCTATAAACTATTTTGACACCAAATTTTGGACGTCCAATCTTCTGTTAAACTCGCACTAGCGAAAAATATAAAAAATGTATTTCCAATAAAATAAAATGATCAAAATACCCCTGAAATTTTTAAGGGGTATTTTGGTCTTTATATTTTATTGAAAAATTATTTTAAATATTTTTTATAGGTTCGCCCCAATGAGAAGATGGCACATACCAAATTTAATATTCATAAAATTTGTATAAAAAAATAAAAATAAAATACTTTGAGACGTCGGATCTAAGATCAAACAGTGAATGACTCTCTTGATCAAAATTAGACGGCTAGATGATAGGGGAAGCATAGATCTTCTATGATAGGGCCCTCTTATGTAATTTTTTAACTTGGGTTGTTAACTGTTTACATCTTGTTTCCAGAAAAAGGGTTGGAGTTAGGCATTCATTGGATATGGTGGAATATGAGATTTTTAGTCTTAAGAGGTGACCACATCCTGAACCATATATACTCCATATATGAGAGAGAGAACAAAGAAGTAGAGAGAGAGAGAGAGCAAAGAAGCTAGAGAGAGAGAAAGATCAAAGAAGCTCCAGCACAAGGAATTTACTCCCCAACTATGAATATGATTTGGATTTGATTCTTTTTAAGGTGTTCATGATTGCAACACTAAGTCCTAAGTCCTGATAATTTAAGGATAATTAAATAATAAAAAAGGTGATGCTCGAATAAAGCTAAATGTACATATAATTCAATCCATTTTTCAAGCATTGTGTAATTTTTAGCAAGTTATTGAGGTTGCCCTTGATTATAAAAAAATTAAAAGACAAGACCAGAGTAAAAAAATCAATAGAAACAAAATACCTTGAAAACTACTTCTTCCCAAAACAGAAAATTGGCAAAAAAAAAAAGAAAAAGAAAAAGAAAATAAATACCTTGAAAATTAAAACTTCCTCTTCCTGATCATCTACAAGAGCTCGTACCAAGAGGACCTCACTCCTCTCACTCTCACTGTAAGTTTCAAGCATTCCAATCTCTGTATTTTGTCCATAATCGTCTTCGTCTTCATTCTCATCTGGTCTCAATTGCCTCCTCGCTCTCGCCGCAACTGTATCAGGCAATTGGTCACTAAATTTGGGTCTTGCTACAAAAGTTGAATCCCTAAATGCTGATAGAAAAAGCTTCTGGCTCTCATGACAGTAATTTTGAAAGGGTTTTGCAGTAGTAATGGGTGTGAGCCTTCTCAATTGCAGTAGGTAAGAAGATAGTGTCCCCATGAAATGGGCGTAAGCTAGTAGATGACATTTGGATAAGGCTGTAGTTCTTATATGCAAGAGATCATGGGAGGGTCACAAAACTACCCCAATAATTCCTTTAAGGGTGTGGTTTCTATAAGGTTGCGACCTTGCACAATCCAATTAAGGCCCACTTTCAAATTTTATCATAACATGAAATTTTAGTGAAAAATATTATTAAGATTATCTCAAAATCTATTTTCATATCTAATTATAAAATTTTAAACTCCAAAAATGGTTAAATCAAGTAGATCTATATGAAATATTGAAAATGGACGGTCTAGATAATGTATTGCAAGATGCACTATTTTTTAGACTTTTTTATTTTTTTTTCTTTTCATATTCATACATTTCAATGTCGAGATGATCAATTAGAGGCTTTTTCAATATTAAAACAACATTTTCCGATGGAGTTTTGAGGTGCATCTGTAATTCTACATTTTAAGGTTGCAACCTTATATAAACTTTTTCCTTCCTTAAAAGTTTTAATGAAGGATGCAATTTCTATGAGTCCACGTAGAAATGAGTCCCCTCTTAAAAATTTATTTTGTGTTGGATTTTTGGATCCAATTTTTAAGGACATATAATCTCAATCAAACATGGAGATCATAAATACGAAAAATAAATAAATTCTAAAAATTAATAATAATAGTTTTATAAAAAAAATATTTGGGTCGTTGGTTTCAACCATTTTTAGATGGACCGTCTATTTGCATCTATCTTTAAAATAGTTGCTTTATACATCGGGGGATGCAAAGGTAGAAATGCGTCCCCAAACTATGAAACGATTTTTCTATAGTGAATACCCTCTTCTAATCAAATAACGAAAAATATAACTTTTGTGAGCAATTCTTTCTATAGAATTCCTTTACCTATCTAAATATATGAAAATGTGTGATTTACCAAGAATGGATGAGGTATGCATCTTATTAATGTTCTTATTTCTCTAAGCAACTTATGCAACAGTTTGGTTGGAGAATAACATGCAATAAGCAAAGGTTTTCCATGGATGATAAAGGGGAGTACTTAGGAGAAGGTATCACGTTGGCCTACTCACTCTTTTAATTATCCACCCACTATTTTTTTATTCCGAAGCATTTAACATTAGTAATATTAGGGGGAAAATTTTCACTTCGCCCAACTATGTAGCAAAAAAAATAATGTCGAATCCAGATTAAGGCAAGAACATCCTTCTACAAGCATGCTCGAGGAATTTGGAGCAAACAAATACACAAGCCACTCATAAGCTATGGGAATCAATCATAGTCCACTCTCATTTCACCCTATACACTTGTTCATAGACAACCGTGTATGCCTTAAAAGGGTCTAGCAAGGGATTTCTAAAAGCCCGTTAGTGCACCTATATGCTTACTTTCATTTACATGACCACTAAAGCATGCACCACGATTACTTCCAACCAACTTATCACAGTTAGATTAGTCATACCTCACCAACAACGGCAGCTCGCCTACCTTATAAGTGGAGTTAGGAACTTGATCAAGCCACTCTAGAGGTTATTATTGCTAATGCATGCTAGTTCAAATAAACTTGGTCATTATATGACTATTATCCCTACCGGGGCTCGCAATGGCCAGGTGGGCCTGGCGCGAAATTGGTAGGATGGTGATGGGCTGGGTTTGTGGTCTATAGGGGGCGGCACGGGCCTATTGTTAATGGCTTGATTCCTCATCAGACATGGTCCTATGTTCTTGGCCCAAAGGGAGAGTGTGTGACGCCCAAGAAGGCAGGTCAATTGCCCCCAAAAGCTGGGCTAGGGCCAAAGCTTGAGCCCAACCAGGCCCAAGACAGAGCTCTGGTTGTCGGGCTAGACCTGGCTAACCCAAGGAAGATGCGCTCGCAAGCCTATCCTTCCATAAGCCTAGGCCTGGTAGTATGTCAGATGGCCCATCCTAGCCTATGAAGAACAAAGTCTTTACCCTATTATGTAGCCCTTATGGGAGGGCCCATGCCTATTATTCCTGGCTTGGTTTTCTTATTGGGCCAAGCACAGGCAAGGCATCCATGCCCCACCCCATAAGGAATGACCCAATATGTATGAGAGAGTGTGACCGCTTATGCGGAACTAGAATTTGGGAGTTTCCTTCAAGAATGGGGCTAGAGTCATGGTAGTAGTACCACCATGCTTGAGTTGAAGGTCACGGCTTTTATTTTCATTAACGTAATAAAAAATCTAGGGCCAGTTTGGATGTACCTAAAATTGTAATATTTTCAAATGAAAAGAAAAAAGATTGAGATAATAACTGGCTGATTGGCACTTACAAAAGCCTCTTTCCCACTCTCAAGCAGTATCACAGTTCTTTCCTTCTCTCATCTTCAACAATACAGATTTTTTTTACCTCTCTCTCACTCTCAAGCAGGTATCACAGCTCTTTGCTTCTTTCATCTTCAATACAGATTTTTTTTGCTTTCCTGTTCGCGCCTTTCTCCCAAACCTTCCTGCTCTGAGTCTCACTTACAAAACCCCTTCTCCCACTCTCAAGCAACTCTCATAGACCTTTCTTTCTCTCATCTTCAACTATGCAGATCCTATCTCCCAGTACTACTATGCAGATCCCATCTCTCAGTACTAGTCTGACTTTTTTTAACCTTTCCATCTTTCTCTCTCTAGAAAGCCGTGCTCGTTTTCGACGGGCTTGCTGGAGAGCGATTGTGCTTCTAAATTCCCTTCTCTTATTTTATCTAGAAATTTGGGTTTTGCTTGATATATTTAGTAACCGTGATTCTTCGGGTCTTGAGTATCTAGAAATTCAAGGTTTTGCTTGATATCTCTAGTTGCCGTGATTCTTCAAGTCTTGAGAGTGGAGTTTCTCTGTCTAAATTTAATCGAGTGCAGGGAAATGTTTTACCACTTCAAAACATTTGCAGATGAAGGTCTGTAAAAGACCTCTCACCTCTTTTGCCCATCCATCAAGTTACTCTCTCTTTAATAATAATATTGAACTTCTCCTTGCTCTTGCTTTTTGGGTTCCTCTCTTTAATAATAATATTGAACTTCTCCCTGCTCAGTGCTTTTTGGGTTCTTCTCATTCTCTGTATTCTATATTTATAGGAATAAACTGTAAATATAGAGAAAAAAGAATCAATATAATTAAATTCTAAAATTGTGTAAATTGGGGTTGGGTTTTTTTATCGATTTCTTTAAAATTTCATATTTCGAGTTATTTGTCTGTGGACTACTATTTGGAGATCGAAAAAAAAAAAAAATTACAAAGCATCCAAACAGACATATCTGGTAAATAAAATTTGTTTCTCATATTTTAATAGACATCCAAACAGTCTACCAACATAATAAAATAAAATGATAATGTTTCTGAATTGAAGAGGAAAAAATTGCATTTTATTTTCAATGTAAATATCTTTTTGTTTGAACTCCAAACTGACCCCTAACTATATCTAAAATAGGTAGGAGCCTATACTTCCTACTGATTACCCAAAAAAGAGAGAAACAGGGAATAACAAAGCCTCCGCCCTGTTATGTGGCCCTGGCAAATCATTCTTAGCTCGGTTGTTTAATGACCGTGTAAGGATTCCATGCCGTGCAGCGCCCCTGTAAGGCAACCGATGCATCTGATCTATGCAGTTTACCAGGGAGTTTCCATTTAAAATCAGCTTCACATTTCCTTCCAGTGGTGCTTGCCACTTTACACTTCCTCCTGGTGGTGTTCGCCATTGAAATTCAACTTTACAATTTCAAGTTTTCAACCATCTTACTTTTGAGCTTAGGCATCTAAACCAGTCATTGTTTGGACCGATGGTTTAAAAACCGGATCGGTGACCCGGATCGAGCTTTTCAAAAATCGATCCGGATCGGCGAATCGGCGATCCGGATCGGAATCGGGTGAATCGGTCAGAATAAA